ATTTGAAATACCGTGTTTATACAATGCCTACTTGGTTACTGAAAATTCAGGCTTCTAGTGTTATCCACAATAAAGTTCCGAGAATCATCATCCGAGAAAAGGATGGTATGGCCGTGCCGCTTTTTGGCTCGAATTGGTAGGGACGCTGCCGTGCCCCCAGATTTTTGACATTTTTTTAGGAAGATGTTCTATTTGAAATTATTTTTATAAAAGTATTAAAATAGTAATAATTTTGTCATTTATTGTGGTATCTTATATGTAAAAGAATGATTACTATCCACATAATGCAAACAAATTTATAAATACACATCCGTTTATTTGTATCTGATCGTGACGGTTCAATGCTTTTTCCCCATCCCTGAAGTGCGCAACGTGCCTAAAAAAGTTTTTACTTCAAAAAACCTACCCCTAAAGATGGAAAGTTAAGAAACGAAATTTGAGCTTGTGGCATTTTTTCGACCACTCAAAAGTGTAAAAAATAAGACATTTGACAGGTACAAGCTACTTCAAAGTAACGATAGATTTAAAATCTACGATTATAATATTTTAACCTCTCTTATAGAAAATTATCTAAGAGTCGAGACTTGTATTCATGTTTTAGCTCGTTAAATCTGAAATGACAGATCAACGTTAAATAACGAGAGATAAGACAAGAAATAAAGAAAAACGATTGAATATTTTATAAAAGAATTAGGCTGTTATTTTCGTAGCGATTTCGTAGCTAGAGTAATGTAACCTTACAACACAGTAAAATGTTTAAAGCTTTTTTTTCAACTTGATTTTTTTCTCAAGTACACTGTATTGTCTCTACAAATAAATCGTTTAATTTCTTTGTTGCTTTCATTTAATTTTATTATTTGAAAATAAATGGTGATAAAGATCACAGTTACGGCGGTTTGTTAATTACAGATGCTGATTTTCTGTGTAATAGTGGTTGTCTTTCTGCAGTCGACACTTAATATCCCTAAGTTACGCTAGAAGCCTGTGAAAAAGAAACTCTTCGCTTTGAACCACGGGTTGCATAAATTTATGATTTTGAATTTAAATTAATATCTTGTTATATTTAAAATTGCACAGAATCTTACGTGATGCGTTAAGATTATATATACAGTACAGCAAAGTAAAATAGGCAACGTAAAAATACCTACAAACATCATTGTGCACACTACGCTATTAAATATAATTCCAATATAATGAAAAAATATATAATGTACATTTTAAACGAGGCTTATTTTCCGCTATTTATGTTATTGATCTACTCTTAACAAGCAGGTAATGATGTCTCAAGAAGAATTCGAGACATTTCAGATGCGCGGGCACTGCTTGGTGATTGAAAATTTCATAAAATCTAACAAAAAGGGAATTTTGTTGACAAAATATCTGGGTCTATGTCTAATGTCTATGTAGCTTTCTTAAAAATTTCCCTTTTTTAAATTCTATGTCCAAAGTCCTATGTGCTATGATTTCGATGTCCAAAGTGTAACTCGTTCACAAATAAGTTTCTGTATTTCATTTAAGACACATGGCTCAAGAGCGTGCTTTGAAGCATTATGTCAGGAGACCAGCTATCATAATCACAGGCTATCGACAGCCTGTGATTATTATGATGATGATGATTATTTAGACAAAAAAATAACAAGCCGTTTTAAAAACTATTTTAGTTACTTCTGGGGAAGCCGTGGTAGCTCAGGGGCTAAGTGCTAGCTGTAAATTTTACAATACTGGTTCAAACCAGATTTGATCCCCGCCGGCACCAATGAAACTGTTAATATCAATTTTAAGTGCAGATTTACCACGTGCTCTGGGCACATCCTGAGGAAACCTGCATGTCTAAGAAATAAGAAAAATTATATTTCGAAAACACGTGAAGTTTGCCAACACGTATTGGGGCAGCGCGGTGGGCAATCGATCCCCAAAAACTCTCTCAGATATAAAGGGACGCCTGTGCCCAGCAGTGGGACGTATATAGACTGTAACTTTAACATTAACTTTTAACTTTTTCATCACTTATATTTATACTTAGATATCCACTTACTATTATGTGGATAGTGTGCCCGTGTGTCAACCTAATACTATAATAAAATTATTTCTGATGATGCATCGTTCATGGTGATGAATATAATTTTGTATAAAATTAGGGTGGCAAAAGTGTTGATCACCTGATGGCAGACGACTACTGCAAGCGATAGATAATGTAATCTCTAAGCAAAGAAATCTACGGGTAACTTTTTTTACACAAGTAAGAGTACACGAGTACTGGTCGTGTAGTAGCGATGAAAAAATATGCAATATCTGGGTGACGTTTAGTCCCTAACAACGTATTCCTTTGTTTTATCATGGGATAATGATAATAGAGGAAATATTTTGACACGATACAATCTACAACTACCTCTACCATGTTCTTATTTCTTTATTACATTAACTATTTCAAAAACGAGGAATCTTGTAAAATAACTAAAACTGCCTAGCATTATCGTGGTTATAAGAAACCCAGAAAATAATTTTAAGGAACATAAAAAACACAAGCGTGGTAAAGCCACGCTGCAGCTATATTATGGTTGCAGCACAAACAGCCGTGACCATGGGTGCTGTAAAGCGCCCGATATGTGGGGGATGTTAAAGCTTTAAGCTAAACGCTATAATATTCGTAAAATTACTTTTATTCTCCTAGACTTATATTATAGGAGTGACATTAATAAACTGCTCGTAAAACGACAGGCGTGTGAACATATTTTACTCGCAAATAGTATTAACGGATGACATCATCATCATAATCATTACAGCCTTTCATAAGTCCACTGCTGTACATAGGCCTCCCCCAAGGAATGGCACAAAGCACGGTCCTGAGCCACCTGCATCCATCGACTTCCTGCATGTCTTACCAGGTGGTCACTCCATCTCATGGGGGGTCGCCCTACACTTCGCCTACCGGTACGAGGCTGCCACTCAAGAACCTTTCCTCCCCATCGGTTGTCCGTTCTTCGAGCTATATGGACGGCCCACTGCCACTTCTGCTTATTAATCCGTTGGCCTATGTCGGTTACTCTAGTTCTACTGTGGATATCCTCATTTCTAAGTTTATCACGCAGAGAAACCCCGAGCATAGCCCTCTCCATAGCTTTTGAGCGACCTTGAGCATCCTCATACGGCCAGCAGTGAAGGACCACGTCTCAGATCCGTAAGTCATCACTGGCAACACGTGTTTTGTTGCCAGTGTATTTTTGTTTTGTTTTGGTATTTTTGAGGTATGTCTAACGAGATGTGTTGTAGTTTCCCGAACGCTGCCCAGCCGAGTTGAATCCGTCGATTGACCTCTCGGTCGAAGTTGGGCTTACCTAGTCGGACTATTTGTCCCAGGTTAACATACTCGTCAACAACTTCGAGCTTAGTGCTCCCAACAACTACCGGCATGGGTGTGACATGGACGTTAATCATGATTTTTGTTTTGTCCATGTTCATCTTAAGACCTATCCGTTGGGAGACACTATTGAGGTCATTGAGCATAGTGCTTAGGTCCTCCAGTGACGGATGACAATCCACCTACAATTCCCCTGGTGTAGCAATTGTTCATGAGCGGTGGTTGATACTTATCATCAGGTGAGACGCAGGCTCGTTTGCCCCCTCTTCTATAAATAAAAGTTACAGCCCACATACGCCTCATACTACATACATAACTTTCATACTTATTACTTTTTTATTCATAAAATGCGTCACCCAATACTTCGCCTTTTCGAACAATTCCCTCATTCGTCAAACTGCTCGGGACAAGCAAAGCAATAAGACAAAGGCGACCCCCGCCACGCTATCCGTGAGTTTTTACAATATCAGAGGACTTCATTTGAACCTTAACGCCGTCTACTACCATCTGGAGACGGCGAAGCCGGCCTTGCTCTTTCTAACCGGGACACGTGTCCTCTTCGGCAGATACTTCTTATCTTTCCTACCCGGGGTACAAATTAAAACGGGTTGGAGTTTGCGTATACGTTAGAGATGACATCTGTCATACACAGACTTGATATGTTGAAACGCGCCCATTAATTTACAAATAATTTATTAAATTATTAAAAAAAATGCCGGCAATTTGTTTACGTCATGAAATTGCTGTGTGGTGGCGGTGCGAGAAGCCATCATCTCCCCATTTCATCCCGTGAGTGTCGTAAGAGTCGTCTTGTTAGGCACAGGCCTCCTCTGGTTTTAAGAGGATTATGGAAAAGTCTGCTCCACTGCTTTAACGAAAATTGGCTTAATTTACATCATTCACAATAGTAAAAATTACTTAGATTAAACAGTGCTGCGGCAATTTTGTTGTAGTTTTAACTAAGTCATTCATAAACTGCTGGAATCTAATTTAAAAATTTTCCCTTGTTTCCTTTTAGTCTTGAATTTATTGTACTATATTCTATCGTGGTTACGAATAAATTTTTTTCTTTGTTTAGTCATAAAGGTTCCTCAAGATATTTTTAAACTAAGGGCGCGTTCCCACCGTGTCGTGACGACAAATAATCGTGTAGTTTTAAATGTCGTGGCTTATATGTTTAAATGGAGGTGTTCCCATTTAGAACGACACAATTTACTGTCGTCTACGACAGTTTTTGCAGTGACGACACTTTGTCGTGACAGTGGGAACGGCAAGCACGACAGTCGTAAAACGATAAAATCGTGGACGGCAACTCTATGTAGACGAACACGTGTTTTCCCTTCCCTCTCACACCCGCGCGCCCCTCGCGTCTGTACTCGGTTTGCTTTGTGCGTGTTAGAACTTGTCAGACTCCTGCGCATGGTGGACGTATAACAATGGCTAATAATATAACACCGAAAGTTTTAATTCCACTTGTGGAACAAAGGGCTGTCCTTTGGGACAAAACTTTAGACATTTATAAAGACAAAGGTTTGAAATTAGCCGTGTGGAGAGAAATTTGTTGCGTTTTTGAACCTAATTTTGACAAGTTGGAGGAAAAGGAAAGAAAAGATTTCGGTAAGTTTCTGAAACTTTTTATTTATTATGATACATGTGCTGTAATGTTTTGCCAAGGTACGGAGCCTATTTCAGATACAAAATAGTCGGAAAATTGTAAGCGCACTGCGTTTCCACCACCTTCGTTTGAACGCAGCTGTGTTGCAGGCATGTTTACCAGGGGCATAACGGTTGGGGTATTCTCCAAGTATATAGCGTCTTTTTTTATTAAAAAATTATGTAATACCGTACAAGCCTTTACAACTTCAATAGCTGTTTCTGCACATACATCCAATGGTCTATGCAAGATCCTCCATTTATTGGATAAGATACCAAAAGTGTATTCAACATATCTTCTCGCGCGGCTTAGACGGTAATTAAATATCTTTTTCTTATTGTCTAAATGAGTACCGCCATAAGGTCGCAATAAATTTTGTGACAATGTAAAGGCTTCGTCTCCAACAAATACATATGGTATTTCTTCTTGCATATTTTCGTGTAATGGCGTGGTTCTTGGTATATTTAAAGTACCATCATTTAGTTTCTTCCAAAAATTGGATTGTTTTAGGATAGATGAATCACACTCTTTTCCGTATGAACCAATACTAACGTAAATGAAACGGTATTCTGAATCAACAATTGCAAATAAAATAAAAGAAAAATAATCCTTATAGTTAAAAAACATAGAACCACTATTTATTGGCTTTGTAATCCTTATGTGCTTGCCGTCCAGCGCACCGAGGCAATGAGGAAAATTTGCTTTCGTTTTAAAAGCTTCAGCGATCGCTTTCCATTCTTCTTCGGTATTGGGCAACTTTAAATATTCTGCACTTAATACGCTCCAAATAACAGAACACGTTTCTTTGATTATTTTGCTGATGGTTGACATTCCCACTCTAAAATTATAATGCAGTTGTTTAATTTTAAGTCTATTTTACTTTTACAGCTACACAGATATCTACAAAGTGGACACATATTCGAGATGCATTTATGAGATCCCTGAAAAATTAAAAAGAAAAAAAGCGATCTGGTGCAGGCGCAAAAACTACTAGGCCGTATGTTTATAAGAATCAGCTGTCTTTTTTATTAAAAGTTACTGAGCCCCGTATGACCTCTGATTCATCTAATGAGCCTAATAATTCTATCTCTGATACAATAAGTGATGCAGCACCTTCTACTCAAAAGAAAACTAAGACTGACACATTAGATGATAAAATGTCACAATATCTAGATTATAAATTAAATAATCAAGAACACCCACATGTGTCCTTTATTAAAGGAATTTTACCATCTTTGGCATCATTCGACAATGATGACAATTTTGAATTCCAAACGGGTATTATGCAACTGATTGAAAAAATTAAAAAGAAACGCCTTCGTAATAATTTATATGATACTTATGCAAACTATGGTGACTACCAAAACCATTTATCACAACCGACAGGATATTTTACACAAGATCCAGGTGCATCAACTTCGACTAGCAATCAAGTTATGGAACCGGCTGCATCACCAAATTCAGTCTATACTAATTTGTCTGATAGCACACAAGATTCTTTTAATTTTGACAATATATAATTTAAAGATATCTTTACTTATAAAACGTGTAACTCTAAAATAAATCTCTAAATAAATAAATGTATACATTAATAAAGAATTTTCATTTTATTTACTTACCTTAAAGTTATCACTAGTCTTTCTTCGGCACTTATACAATTTCTGAAATGTGTGTTTTCTCTTCTAAGATTGTTTGCAAGTCGTGCCAGTAGGCTATCAAAGGTGGAGACAGTCATTCTTTAATAGTCATAAAACTTTCCATCATCACTTTTTAATTCTTCTATATAACTCTGACATAATCCTAATGGAATTCTTTTCATTAACATTGGATGTACCCAGTACTTTCTTTTCATTTCTTGCTTCATTTTCCTTCTTTTCAAAAAGTAATACATTATTAAAATTTCATCTTCGTCCATTGAACTCAGGAGAGTAAACGCACTAGTAATCACCAAGCGAACGCAGAGGCGACTAGATTTGTAGCTTGCTGATGATGCGAGCGATCTGAGCGATCCAATGGGAACAGCTAGATACGACAGTCGCTAAACGATAAAAAATGTTGACGACAAACAATCGTTATAATGGGAACAGGTAGAGACGACAGTCGTCGAACGATAAATTAGTCGTTACGACATAGTGGGAACGCGCCCTAACGGGCTTATTGGTTCTGACGGTGTTCGAAGACGGATTGCTTGTAGCCTATGAAGTTTTAAGGCGAACGATTATTCCCTGAGTCACCACGGCTCAAAATACAATATTATTATTTCCTTTACCTGATTTATATATTTTTTTAAATATGATTATTTTTAATTTTTCATAGGAATCAGTATTTCCATAGGTAAGCACGTAATACAATTGTGTTTACGCGTAATGACCGTTTTTTACCTATTGTAGTATTGAGAATTGGTTTCGGTTTTATATATATATATATATATATATATATATATATATATATATATATATATATATATTTATATTTATGTACTGATTTTAACGTTATTTATTTTAAAAATAGGTTTTAAAAATATAACTTTAAGTTTTTTTTTAATTTAGTGGCAATAACTGGAGACGAAGTTTTTAATGTAGCTATTTAGACGACATTCTCGTTGGAAATCCACTTCCAAAATAAATAAACTTCAGAAAACCCACTTGAAAAACTAAAAAGTATAAAACAATTTTCACATAATAGTTTCTGAAGCCGGAGCTCTAATTCTCCGATGCACTACGAGTACGTCCGAGCACCGACTTCAGAAGTTATATCGTGAATATTATTTCATTATTTTTAATAGGTATTTGAAGTTTGTTTTTAGTTTTTAATCTAATTAGCAAACCGCTGAAACCGAAACGAACCGAAACTTCACTAACTTATAAAAATGTCACTATGACTCATCGTGAGTCTGTGGTAGAACTGTGGCTACATGACTGAGCCTATGACTGAAGCTTTTCCTGTGTGCTAAATAAGCAATAATATTTCATTTTTGTTCTCATTGGTTATATATTATTTTAGGGATTTTGTGAATGTGAGGTGGAATATTGTTTAATTATAATAAGTCAGTTTGTCGTGTGTGTAATCCATCATCACTATACCAAATGATCATACCGTATAGTGTATGAGGCGACAGAGGAAAATGAAACGGAAGATGGGCTACATCTACCTGATAACATCTAAAAATAATTTGGCAAATATTTCGATATGAGGTAATCTAAGTGTTTAGCAGTGGACGTTTAAAAGCCTGTCCAGAGGGTAGGCAGAGTGCTCTAAAGCAGCAATCTACAGACAGACGAGGTTCTAATGACGGAAACCTCTTTTCGATAGTGGCAACGTTACTGTTAAAACTATAAACATTTTGATGTATACCCAAGATATAGACGCGTACATATGTACATAATTATATTAAAATAAAATAAACAGGTATCTATATATTGGTATTGCAGTGCGAAAAGGTGGGAGTCTCATTACGCTTAAGCACTGCCCTCGCACTGGGCGGGCGTCTGTTATTTCACCGCCCTGCCTCAAATAAAAGCGAGATATTAGTCAGAAGCTTGCGTCAGTCACGCCAACTATCGCATGCTGGCAACATCGAAGTGCAAACTCAGTGTTCCGAGTGTGTCTGAGTGAGTGACTCAGTGTTCTGACTACTTCAAAATCAAGCCCACAATCCCAAAAGGTAATTTTTAAATAAAAAAAAACGAATCAATTGTTAGTTTTTTTTTATTTTAAATTTGTAATTAAGTATCTTTTCTGTACAAAATATTTTAGTGTTTATGTGCAAAATATTCAACTGTTTAATTAAAAATATTTTAAAATTATGTACGCTAAAGAAATAGATTTTTATAATTACGAGATTTATTGAAAATAACTTGACATTGTAGTTATAAATTATTTCGATAAATATTATAAACGTAAATTTGTTACATTACGTTATTTAATAATCGAATAATTATCGAAAGCTGAAGCGAAATAAAATGACACAAAAAATAAGCAAAGGCGGAACAGCGCCATCGCGACCATCTATAAAAGTTTCACTTCCGGTGGAAATGTAAGTAACTTATGATTTATATAATGTATCGTTTTCTTTTTCTTTTAATAATAAAATTTTTATTCTAATTAAGGAGTATATAATATAAAAATTGTATTATATGTCCCATCCATCGCGTTATCAATAAATATGTTATAATTATGAGAGTTTAATTTTCATTAGTATGTAAAAAGTAGTTAGATTTATTGCTTTGCTTTTTGAACAAAAATCTTAATTCGTATATAATTGTGGTTCCATTTGTAAGTGATCGTGTAACTTAAGATTAGTTTGACCGAGTGTGTTTTTTTATTAGGATTTTGTTTTGTGCATTCCTTACCTATGTTCAGCAGTGGATTTGTAACGGGTAATGGTAATAAAGAATCACATGGATGGTATTAGAGGCGACTAAGGTTGAAAGTAAGGTCTTGTGACTATTGAATTTTTTTTTGAAAGAGTAGAAAAATGAGAACACGACTCACCTGATGGTAAGTAATCAACGTTATCCATGAACAATTTCCAAAAACTGCTATATAATATGATGTATATCATATAACATAACATACAACTATTTATTTATTTACACTATTTTCAATAAAGGTGCAAATAGCTTATGCAATATGGTTATTAATGGAGATGAGGGTATGACTTCTATCATCATGAACTTCTTCATCATCAATTCATAAAAGCCCTCGCCGTGAACATGAGACTCGCCACACTTAGCAGGCGGATTGACGATCACAGTACCATGTGTATCGTACTTCTGACGCTGCTGCCCGTCTCCGGCGGGGGTATTTTGACGTTCTCCAAATGGTTATACTGCCATCTATCACAAGCCATTAATATTTACTGGAATTGAACATAGTCGCCCCCTACCACAAACACTGTAGTACAGTGGTGACGTAAAAGAGTCCGTCGACCCATTTTAAATCCAATAAAATAAATTTCTTCTGTTGTTGCAGATATCACAAAATTAAAAATCGTATACATTCTTACAGTATACATGCACAAGTATTACTTCAACCATCTACATTTCAAGACATTGAAAAAAAAACCAGATTGTTTTTTCGTGGGTAGGAGTGAAATAAGTAACACACGTTTTGATTTGTCTTGTGCAATTTATATTTTAAAAATAGAAATTAGGATATCTTAATGTGTTACACATATATGTAATAATCATCTGCTTACCAGCCTTGATTCCTTGATATATATTATCTCTAACTTGTTGTTTTTTTAACACTGCACTAAACTATGGAAGCCCTCAAGGGATCCCTGTCAGCCATGTCAGAACTCTTCAATACTCGCATGAATGAGTTTCAGCAGGACTTACAAAAGACTAGTCCAACTATGGCCCCAAATACATCAGTACTTTCAACGGAGTTTGCAACATTCAGAAACTTCATCTTGTCCGCTCTTGAAACTGTTCAAAGACAGGTTGAATTTCTTGGGAGAGAGATCGACCGCTTGGAGATGAGACGGCGCCGTAAGATTCTGCTGCTTCATGGTATTCCCGAGGACAAGTCCGAGGATACATCTTCAATGGCTGCTAATCTTATAATGGACAAGCTCAAGATATCCAATATGTCCAACACTTCTTTTATCAGCTGTCATCGCCTTGGACGTCCAAAAGAAAAGAAGCCAAGACCAGTTCTTGTAAAGTTCCGGGATGTCCCAGTTCGTGATCAAGTTTGGTTCTTAAAAACAAAACTGAAAGGCACGGGTGTCACTATGTCTGAATTCTTAACAAAAGATCGTCACAAGGTGTTCATGGTGGCCAGGCAGAAATTTGGCATAAGTAACTGCTGGACTAGGGATGGTT